CTCTCTTCCTCTCTTTCTCCCTCCCTCTCTTCTCTCTCTCTTTCTCCCTTTCTCTATCTCTCTTCCTCTTTCCTCCCAACTTTCTCTCTCTTACTCTTTTTTTTCTCCGCCTCTCTCCTTCTTTCTCCCCTCCCCCTCTCACACACGCACACCACAGGTGCTATCCAAGGTTTTACCTTGAGGGTGTCAAAGCCTTTCTCCAGATAGGTGCCACATTTCTCCCGCTCACCCGTGGACGCGTAGAATTTGCTCCACCAGTCGATGAACTCTTCTTCCTGGAAATGAAACAGGACCCAACACCTCAGTTATTATCCCGAGACCATCCAAGACCATCTGCTCTACAGCACATGGAGCATTTCAACCAAGGCTTCAAAGCGTGGCTCAGCTTTTTCCAAGCTGTGCCTTCCGGATGTTTTAAAAGTCAAATCCTATAACTCCACAACGGCGCCTATGCTGGCTGGCGATGATGGAAGATGGCCTCTATCATAGATGAGGCAATCCAGGTTGGGAAACAATGGACTTGACACCCGAAGAGGTGAGATTCTCATGTTTTATAAAAGTCAGAAGGGACAGATCATGTTGGATTGGCAGAATATCAGCAGGGCATCCTAAAGAGGCCATATCTCATGGTGCATCTCTGGCTTAAGGGCCAGGCTGGGCTTGAAGGGAGAGTCAGAATAAAGGAAAATATTTGTAGCCCAGGGTTAAAACTAGGGGTGTGAGGCGCTCTCCGAGCTGGGTTGTTTCCTTGCAGGCCTTTCATGACCCAACTATATAACATCATCAGTGCTAGTAGGGAGTGGGATCTACTATCAATTTATATTCTAGTGATTTGCTCATCCTACCAACACTGACAGGGCAAGCCACTAGAATATAAATTGAGAGAAGACCCCACTCCCTACTAGCACTGATGATGTTATATAGTTGGGCACCAATGACCCCACAGCCCCCCTCCCTCCTCTTAAAACCTGATTCCTTTCTAGCACTGATGATGTTACCTAGTTGGGTCATGAAACGTCTGCAAGAAAACAACTAAGTTCAGAAAGCACCATGGGCCCCACAGTCCTCCTCCTCCTCCTCCTCCTCTCTTCAAACCCTACCACCTTCTACAACTGATGATGCTACCTAGTTGGGTCATGAAACGTCTGCAAGAAAACAACTAAGTTCAGAAAGCACCATGGGCCCTACAGTCCTCCTCCTCCTCCTCCTCTTTTCAAACCCTACCACCTTCTACAACTGATGATGCTACCTAGTTGGGTCATGAAATGTCTGCAAGAAAACAACTAAGTTCAGAAAGCACCATGGGCCCCGCAGTCCTCCTCCTCCTCCTCCTCTCTTCAAACCCTACCACCTTCTACAACTGATGATGCTACCTAGTTGGGTCATGAAATGTCTGCAAGAAAACAACTAAGTTCAGAAAGCACCATGGGCCCCGCAGTCCTCTTCCTCCTCCTCTTCTTCCTCCTCCTCCTCCTCCTCCTCCTCTCTTCAAACCCTACCACCTTCTACAACTGATGATGCTACCTAGTTGGGTCATGAAACGTCTGCAAGAAAACAACTAAGTTCAGAAAGCACCATGGGCCCCGCAGTCCTCTTCCTCCTCCTCTTCCTCCTCTCTTCAAACTCTGCCCCCTTCTGGCACTGATGATGTTGCCTAGTTGGGTCATGAAACGCCTTCAAGGAAACAGCCAAGCCCGTAGAGGACCAAGGACCCCTCGGAGTCAGAAGGAGCTGGGAATGATCAAGGTGCCCTGGAGACCCACTCAGCAGAAAGCAAGCCTTTCCTTTATAACCCCCCCCCTTCTTTTTAAATAGCTAACTCTTCCGAAATTGATTGAAACCACAAAGGGGCAATTTGTATCTCGCGAAACATTCCTCCGCCAATAAATGACTCATTTTAGAATTCCACAAAATTCCATCATGCTAAGCTCATCAAGAAGCCACAATTCTGGGTTTATAGAGTTTGACTGCAAGCCAGCCCTGCAACATTCCTACTTCAGTCATCTTCTGGGGGGGGGAGGGGGCACCCAACCTGACTCTCTGCCCCCTCCCATTTCTTCCCAGAAAAAAAAACGACACGCATTTCCACTTTCTTTCCCCAGGTCTCTGTTTTTCATCCAGAAAACTCCTCTCCGGCCGAAATGGCTTTCTGATGACATTTTGGAGGTGCCACATGATCAAGAAAGCCCCTTCTGGAATTTGATGCTTTAGAATGGAATGGAATGGAATGGAAGGGAATGGAAGGGAAGAGAAGAGAAGAGAAGAGAAGAGAAGAGAAGAGAAGAGAAGAGA